GAACAATATATACATAAGTTAGTATCTGACGCAGTTCAGATAAGTTTTAATTGTCAAAATTGATCAGATCTCTATTTTTTACAACTTTTATATTCTCTTTATTGCAAAAGTGTATAAAGGCATATTGAGAGTTCCTATAATTAGATCTGGCTTTAGGGATCACCCAGATGGCTACATTCATAGCTTTCTAATTAGTTCTAATTCTTAGCCTGTTGTATCTTTTGGAAGATTAGTGAGTTTCAAGATGAATTGAAATCTAGCTCTAATTTTGTCATTAGTAAGAGAGTACACATATACTCTAACTATATCTTTTAAAATGAAGAGGCCTGCATGAATGTTAAAAAATGATAAATCTACCTCAGATGCATACGAGATAGTTGCTTGTTACTAAAGATTTGTCATCATCATAGAGCATTTGATAATCGTGCTGAATTAGGCAAATATTGATCAGATAATCTGTTCAGAAGTAGAAATGGAATCTCAAAAACCTTGATCAATAAATTCAGGTCAAACTTGAATGAGGCAGGTGTGATAAAGGTTTAAATGTGACCATTTTCATATTAGGAATTTTAGCAGCAATGGTACAGTTTGCATCCTCATACGTTGTAAATCCTAATCAGATAATTTTTAATGTTTTATTTTCAAGATCTTGTTTTACTGACGTACTAATGAATTATAGGTATTCTGCATCATTGAATAATTTACAAGCTTTATTAGTTTTTTCGTGAAAAAATTTATTAGAAAGGAAGGTTTTTGCAATGCAGTAAACATAAAAGGTAGTAGCATCTCTAACTCTTTCAAAAGTAATAGTATTTTTACTGATATCTTTATCATTTAGCATATTTTCAGATATATTAAAGACCTAATTTTCATCTATAGTGTTATTATCATCAAGAGTTATTATTTCACTATCCTTTGATTTTTGGATAGGCAAGGTGCTAGTAGTAAAGGTTTCTTGTATATTTTTATAGTCAAAAAACTAAGGGCCTTTGTCATGTTTAAAGGGTTATTTTGCTTCAGCTAGAATTGCCATAACTTATTGGTCAACATTCATATTGCCAGCTGATAAAATATTAGTAGTATTTACAACTTTTGAAAGTCCAGCTGGAGTTTCATCCATTTGGTTAGACCTGTCGGTCATAGTTTTTTTCTGTGAAGGTCTTCTTTATTTTTTTTGATGAGCTAGAATAGCTTCGCAAGTTGCAGTTATTTTTTTATGAAAAATTTTGATTTTTTTCTTTTCCTATTTTTGTGATTTTAGTAAGAGAAAGAAAAGTTTTATATGCAAAAATGATCTGCAAGGTTGCAAAAGAATGATCAATTTTGTGTTATATTAAAATGATTTGTAATAATGTTAGTTAAATTGGATTATTAAATAATCTACATATCTTATTTCCTAATTTTGGTAGTCTAATTTATTATGCAAATAAATCTTATTACATCATTCATTATTAATATCATTTAGTTCATTTATTTTATTTAAATTATTTTATTTATTTATATTATTTTATATATTTTATCTATTTTCTTTACTTTATTTAATTTATCATTATTAGTAAGAATTTTTATATAAATAGAAATAGATTATCAATATAAAAGAGCAGATCAAAGTCTTGTCTTGTAATAAATCTTTGATAAATAAATTATTTAGTACAGACGTGTCAACTGAAGCAGTATTAATTTTTTATTTGTTAAATAATTAATTACACATTTTACATCTCATTTATCTTATTTATTTCTATTTCTTTTATCTTGTATCTATTTTTTTAATCTTCTGTATGAAGAAAATTTTTTGTTAAACTTTGATATTGCAGATGATTTACCTACAATCTAAAAGAACTAGCATAACACTTAGTGCTTTCTGCCAGAATCATTTGTATCCCTACATGGTTAATTTGATCTATTAATACAAAAATAACAATTTCATAATCAATTACATACCTTAAGGTTAATTAATTTTGTATAATACTCTTTTAATTCTTCTTGTTTTATTTGCTATCCTAAATACTATGTTGCAAGTATCTTTTAATTCATTAAATTTTAGTATTGGTTTTCTATTAAATACTCTGTATTAACCTTTACTTTAAATATCAAAAAGTAATTAAAATAGTTAATAAATAGTATGTAACTGACTCTATTTTAAGAAGAATTAAAATTTTAATTTATTAGATATACATAAAACTCAGATTCTTACATAAATATGATAGAACATATATAACGCATTAATCTTAACCAATGGTTTTTAGCATGACCCTTTGAAGTTTTATACTAAATAAGTAAAACAGCTCAATCTATAAATACTTAAATAACCACTTCTTTATTTATTATACCATCTATTTCAACTCGTTCTAATATACCTGACCCATTGGATGGAAAAGATTTCAACCTCAACTTATTATTTCAACTTTAAGCAAATATGGCTATTTAACAAGACATTCAAAATCTTACTATAGCAGTTCAAGAATTAACAGAATTGTTTACTTTACAAGAACAATTAGCAGAAAATAATAGTATTTTTCAGCTAATTAATAACTTGTAAGCCAATTCTAATGCAATAAATGGTAACCCTCAATAAAGAGAGATATGTGTTCTTAACTTGCCTTACTTTTATAAAAGCAATTAAGATCCTATCAAATGGCTTGAGAAGTTTACATGTGCCTGTAATGCAAATAGTATTAATGATAACAGAAAACTTGAAGTTATTCCAGTCTACTTAAAAAACTCAGCATCCACTTGGTGGACTGTTAACCAAGCTTTAAACAATAGAAACAATAACTATATTGTTGTATAAACAGGAAATAACAATAATACTGACTTTATCTAAAACTTTTCTGTTGCTTTCAGGTTTCAAACATTAATGGAAATCTGGAATACTGAATTGGAAAGATGTCGATAACAACCTGATGAATCTGTGAATGACTATGCTTGTGCTTTATTAAAATTATATTAAGAGTAAAAATACAAGCCTTTTAATATCCTAATATAATAAAAGTTAGACAACTTGTTAGTAGATTAGTAACTATATTGCACTTGTTGGTAAAACCTTTCAATGATCAAACTTGAAATGATGCACTAATTGAACCAAATAATATGAGTTTACTTATAAGGATACCAGTGTAGTTAAGGCATATATGAATAAATATGTTAACCTATCAGAAAATACAGAATAGCTCAATGTTTTGAATGCTACCATTGCTAATCTGTCTTAGTAAATACAAAAAATAAATGTTGAAGAAAGGAAATACAATTCAGATTATTAATAAAACAATTATTAGCAACAAAATTATCAACAACAAAACAATTAGCAAAACAATAATCAATAGAATCAACTTTCATTAAATAATCAATCAGAATCTATTGTATGCTTTAATTATGAATCCTAGACATATTTGACGAACTTGTCTAATAAGAGTAGTAAATAATTTAAATAATCTAATTAATAATATAGTTATCAACAATCTGCCATTGCAAAATAACTTGAATCCAGTAAATACTATTATAGCAATTATAGCTAATAATATTTCTGCAAATAATAATATCAACTAAAATAATAATATCATGAATGTACAGTAAGCTATGTAATTGTTAACTCAGCTGTTAGAATAAGAAAATGACAATAACCAAAATTAGCATTTAAACTAAATGATATAAAACTATTTAAAAGTTCCTCAAACCTTTCTATCTTTGAAATTTATGCCAACAAGAGAAGTTAAGCTAATGATAATAAGGAAGGATTAATTAGAGAAATAGAATAAAAACAAAAGACCTAGCAAAGAAAAGAGCTCAACAAAAACCAAAAGTGAAAAAGAAATCTCCAGCACAACCACTTATTATTAACATAATAAACCCTTATACTGTACAAAACCTTTTTGACTGACCTGTCAATATTTCTATTGAATAATTAATTGCAACTAATTCTAAGTTTATCCAAAGTGTAATGAGATCATTAAGGAAGCTAATTACTCATAAACCTAATAAAATAAAAGGATTAGCTACTCAGAAAAATAATAATCAAAAAGAAAATACAACTGCAGGATCTTCAGAAGCTAAATATATAGACGTGGAAGCTGAAGAAATAGCTGGAGAAAATTAGAAATATCTTGCATCTCAGGAGATGCATAATGTTACAAATCATAAGTCAACCGTTTTGTACTGTTAAGCAACAATTAATAATAAGGAGTTTGCTTTGATAGTTGACTCTAGTTCTTCAGGATACATTATTTCTTTACAATTCTTAAGATGATTAAGAAGAGAAGTAGACAAAGCGTCTGGCATAGTTATGGTAAATATCAATGGTGAATGTTAAAAGTCAGTTGGTATAGCACTTGATTTATCTTTACAAATAATAGGACAAATACTTATGATGCAATAGTTAGTAATAACTGGTTGGAAAAGACTCATACTGAAATAAGTTATAGAAGTAAATTCATGATGATTCACTGAAAAGGAAAAGAAATATATGTTCAATTGAACACAGAACTTTGTCATGACAATATATTGAGAAAACAAGAGATAATAATGAGAAGTCTAAAGTAAATGAAACTGATGAAGAGTATAAAATAGAAGAAGAAGAACAGGATGAATTATTTTGCTACTCTGAAAAAATCCCAAAAGAAGAAGTGAACTAAATTTACTCTAAGCTAAAAGAAAATGTAAAAAAAAAGGCAATACCAAAAAAATCATATTATCAATATAAGGAACTTGACAGAAGAAGCTACCATACTGATGAACTTACAAATAAGCAACTGGAAAATTTTAAAGATTTTATGAAGTAATATAAAGATCTTTTCATTTGAAAGGAAAATCAGTTTGAAAAACCTCTGCGATAAAATATAACATTAATATAAATGATGTCTCTTCAATTAAGCAAAGATTTTACAGGACCTCATTTCAAAACCAGAAATTTATCAAACAGGAATTTTAAAAGTTATAAAGCTCAGGATTGATTCAATTATTTAAAAATCAATGGATATCTCCAGTAATTGTTGTGAAAAAGAAAAATGGCAAAAAGTGTTTATATGTATATTACAGAAAGCTAAATAGTATGACTAAAAAGGATAATTACCTACTCTTAAGGACTGATAATATGCTGAATACATTAACAGATTTTCAATGATTTACATTCTTAGACTTGTTAAGTGGACTCAGACAAGTAGAAATAGAAGAAAAAGATCAGAAGAAATCTACCTTTATTACAAGATTTGAAACTTTTAAGTTTACCGTTGTGATGGGCAAAATTTTAGATAGATTTAATTGGTAAAATATGAAGTCAATTTTATTGCCATGTAGATCTTTTATGAAGATCATTTTGTTCATTTTATTGCCATTGATCAATTATGTAAATTCTTAGATATCAATTTTATTGCTTTTGATAATCATGTAGATCATAAATGTCCATTTAGTTACTTGCAGAACTGGTAATTTTATTGACACGGTAATTTTATTGCCTAGTGAAATGGCAACTTTATTTTCTTTGAATATTTTTAGTTAATATATTTAATTATTTAATATGTATAAATATCTTTGTATTTTTATTAAGTTTTATTACCTTTCTAGCAAAGATAACTGACGAGATATTAATCTTTTAGGTACTAAACTTATTTATTATATTAATAAAGAAGTATAATTAACCAAGTATAAAACTTATCCTTCACAAATCCTTTAAAACTGTTATATATTATCTGTGATCCTTTGCATTCATGCAATCCCTTTTGTTATTTAACTTATTATATAATATTGTATTGATTTGCTATATTGACTTGAAGTCTCTAAAGTATAATCTCTGAAATATCTTTAAGTTATCTTTGTGTTTATCTTGTGTTTATCTCATGTGTTTATTATTGAGAATAATTCTTTGACATTATTGTGAATCCTCACCTGTGATTTCTTAAGTAATTGTCTTAGTTTATTTACCCCTTTGAGATTTTATTTGAAGTTATAAAACCCAACATAATACTGTTATGCTCTTTAATTTATGCAATACTTCTGTAATTTTTTTAAGATTAATGGATACAGTTTTGAGAATATCCTTTGGTAAAATAAAGTGATATACGTGAATGATATTAATATTAGATCTAAAATGTTTAATAAATACTTTCTTTACTTAGAACAAGTTTTTTTATGTTTATAATAATCAGGATTAAAACTAAATTCTAAAAAATACTTTTTCTTTGAAAAGAAACTTCCTATCTTAAAATATATAATTAGATGTGAAGGCATACAAACTGATCCTAAAAAAGTTGTTACAATTAGAGAATTTCCCATTCCAAAGGACTTAACCCAATTGAGAGGATTCATTACACTTGTTTCATACTATAGAAAATTTATTAAAAGATTCTTCACCATTGTCAAACCTCTAAATAGGCTTCTCAAAAAGAATGTTTCTTATTATTAGACAACTGATCAACAGAAAGCCTTTGAAAACTTAAAGGATTATTTAATCTTCTCCCAATATTGATATATTCTGATCTTAATAAACTATACATTCTATGCATCAATACTTCTACCTATGCTTTTAGAGCTATTCTATCCCAAAAAGAAGATGATAAAAAGGAACATGTAATAGCTTATACTAGTAAAACCCTTAATAAATATGAATAAAATTATTTGATTACTGAATTGGAATGTTTTGCTGTAATTTGATTTATTAAATACTTTCACCATTATTTTGTATAGACGAAAATTTGTTGTAGTGACTGATTATACTACATTAGTATATCTCAAAATATAAAACACCCAGTTAAAAACTTAGACATTAACTTATGACTTTAAACAGATATAATATAGAAATACTTAATCACCCAAGAAAATCACATATAAATATAGATACATTAAGTCAAATATAATACTAAAGACTTATTTTATTTTACAATAATTAGGATAAAAACTTTAGCAGACATCTTTTTCTGATAATGTCTTTTTGATTTTAATGGAAATAATAGATTCAGATATATATTTTGGTTTATTTCAATACTTAATGGAACTTTCTATACCAATATATTTTAACAATAAATAACAAGCGGTATTGAAATATAAAATATAATATTTTATTGTAATCAATGATCAATTATACAAGCGAAATAAACAGGAACTACAATGCCTTCTCAAAATAGTTTGCAAACATAAAGTTAATAACATTCTATATAATTTATATAAGAATCCTTTAGCTGAACACTTTGTTTTTTAAAAGACCTATAAGAAAGTAAAAATTAGATATTACTGGTCTCAAATATATAAGAATATATAATAATATGTTTAAATATGTAATGTCTGCTAACAACAAGGTAAAAATAAGCAAATGAAATCCTTACATTCTATTAAAGTTAGATAACATTTTGATAAAATTGAATAGACATTGTTAGATCCCTACCTAAAATGAAAAGAGGAAATAAATACATAGTTATTATGATGGAATACTTAATGAAATAATTAAAAGCATAAGCGATATCAGATGTGAAAGCAAAGTCAGTTGTTTCTTTTTTATGAGAATATTATTTGCAGACATGATTACCCTAAGGAACTTCTTACTGATAATGATACACATTTTGTAAATTAAATGTTAAATTCTTTGTGAATAAGTTAGGAGTAAAGCATAAATTATCAACTGCATACTATTCATAAATAAATGGATTTGTTAAACGTTTTAATTGAATATTATGTAAAACATTAGCCAAGTTTGCAAATGACAATAATGATGATTAAGATACATTTATTCCTTTAGCCTTTTTGCATATAGGACTAAGTAATATGAAATAACACGACATAAACCTTTTATTTAATTTATAAAAGAAATGTTACATTACTAATTGAATTTCAGGTGGAAATATAAAATATATAATTGTCATCTAATGATATATAAAATGATTTACTACAAAGAGCATAATAAATAACTGGATGAATGAAGGATGATATCAAGGAGATACAAAATAGAATAACAATGGCACAGTAAAAATAAAGAAATTCTATGATAAAAATCTGCAATTAAGTTAATTAAGTTACAAATTTGAAGTAGGACAGTTAGTACTAAAGTATGAAACTAAGATCAAAGGAAAAAGAAAATTGGATGATCATTGAACTAGATCTTATTACATCTATATAGATTTAGTAAATAGAGTTTACAAATTAAGGACAATGAATAGGAAAATTTTAAAAGTACCAATTAATGACGTATGGCTGAAACCTTATTATCAATAATCCTTATCTGAACTAATAGTGATAATTAAATAATAAAATTAGATATAAAAGATTGCTAAAAAATCTCTTTTAACAAGTCAATGAAAAATGAATACTTTCAACATCTTCTTTATAAATAATACTCTTTACCAACTCTTTTTAGATAATCTTAAACAAACTGAATCAGTTAATTCATTATTATGCCTTCTACCTTATATTGATGAAATGGACACAAAAGAAAATTCTATTTAATTACCAGAGTAATGTTCAGAGCTAAGTAAATTAATAATCATATTTCTTTCTTAATTAATGCTTTTTACTTAGACCAATTATTAGAGATAATGGAAAATATCACTATATGAGCAATATATGTCAAGAAATTAACATAACATTACTATTGAATCTCAGTCTATATTTATTATCTTTATAAAATTTTAGAAATATTACAAATTGTTAAATCATGAAACCTGACTTTTAACTTAATCCTAAGGGTAACAAAAATACAATTTAATGAACTTATTAATAAAGCTTTGAATATGTTTGTATAAACATAAAATCTCAAAGAAGCGTAATATTACACCTAAAAATGATATGCAAAAATGATTTTTTTTTCTAATAATGTGCGATGGTTTAAGATCTGCTAGAAGAATACTTATTAACTAAGTAAATATTACCTTCAAAGTGACTCTTTAAGGTCTCTGATCCTCATTTAAGAGGTATGGCAACTTAGTACTAAAAGCACATCTTTGATAGTTTACTATCTAGTATAGACCACCTGTAATAGCTATACCCACAGTCATAGGCTTACTAAACTATTAGGTACTATCATTTGTAGGATAGAGGATGCACATCAACCATAGAGCTTATCATACTCTATTTTACTAATCTAATTTATAGGATTTTATCCTATTGATGATTACTAAGACCATGAAATCAGATTCTTTACATAGATAATAGTATTTGTATTTATAATATTAAATTTACCTAAAAATTAAACTCAGCCTCTACCCCTAGTGATAGTTGAATTAGATGATGCTGCAGTATTCGATGCAGTCTATTATCACCATAGCTACCTGTAGGTGATACTCAATCTACTAATTACTGGTTAATCATTTTCTTACTTGTGTAAGAGCCTTTGAATTTGAAGATGTGAGACAGTATCCAATATGTAAAAATGATTTTTTTTTATAAGTGCAGCATTTTGCATGATCTTTATTAATATTTATGATTTTACAAGAAAAACAAAATAAAACAAAAAATACAAAAATATCTATAAATTAATCTAGCAAACTAAACTACTTTATCAATACCAACTTTGCATTTTACTGAACTAAACTATACATCAGAAGAGAAAAGAAAACTAATCTAAACTAAAATATAAATATCAAACATTCAGAAGAAAGAGCATAGTTACTGCCAGATCAGAAATTTAACCAGTGAGTACTATAAACAATTGCTGCTGTGAAGGAAGTAGAATTATATAAGGGTACTTGTATAGAGCAAGGGAAATCAGATGATACCCAAGCTACATTGAAATTATCTTTTATATTGTTAGAGGTTTTTCATATTTGTAGTAATTCACATCTTTCTAATTATATCTTATGGACTAAGCAGAATATGTTATCAAATAGGGATGATATAAGACCAAGGGTGAGTTGTTTGTTGTTTGTGATATTATTAATTGATGAAGTGAGTGATGAAAAAATGATCCCTTTAATAAGTCTATGAATTGCAATCCCATATTGAGGATTATTCTACATACAAAATATGTGTATCGTTATTGGATCTATTGAGTTCTTTTAGTTGAGACATGAATGATTGTTTATACTCAAGGATAATATTAATAAGAGAGTTATATTGTTAAAATAAGTCTAAATGTGATTAAAGAATTCAATTGCATTATTACAACAAAAACAGTTATTAGAAATATAAGTTTGTGAATATCAAGCATTCATGATCGTTAAGGTGAGAAGTAATTGTAAGATCAATTTGAGTTTGAATTGCTTCCTTTTACATGTATCAAATGACGTCACCCTAGTATTTTCTGAGTCATTGAGAATATAAAAAAGAGTTTGCCAATCAATGTGGTAGTTGCTGTATTTAACAAGTTAGAGAAAAGTTAAAATGTTTTAGCTCAAGAGACTTATTGCAGGTATTTAATAAATAAACGAGGTGGAATAATGATTAGTATGTTATTATAATACATAAAATATTTAGGACTTAAGTGATTGTTGTTGAAGTATAAGGGAGCACTAAAAAGTTGCTTTGCTAGTGTATCTACTTTGTTGTTAAATTGATCTGATCCATGAGCTTTAACTTTTGTGAGTGTTTACGTAATTTTGTGAGTTATAATAAATTGTATCAAAATCATTTAAATATGAAAATATGGAATTTTGAAAGTAGGATTTAGAGAAGGAGATTTCTCACATATTGCGATGATCTTGTGATATGATGTAATTGCAGCTTATGAATCAATACAGATTTTAATGTTGAAATGTGGTGGTGCAGTATATGTTACAGCAAGGATAGCAATAATTTCTATTAATATTGATAAGGAGATGTTAAAGTTGATAAGGTGACTTCACAAACATTAGATGAGAAAGGCTATATCACCACCTCTCGTGAGATTTGTGAAAAACTTTAAATGTTGAACAATATGTTTTAGGTAGTTGAATAGCATAAAAACTATGACATTGTTATTGTTTGTAAGGTATAAAAGCTGAATGATCAAAAAGATTACATCTAGTACAAGGGATAATAGGTGTTTGAATATAAACAGATTGGTTTAGCAGGTAATATTGTGTATATATGACTGTATTGTCAATTTTGACTACTTTACCTATGATGAATGTCATATATTAATTAGATCAAATGACAACTAAAAGTTGGATTGGTTGGTAATGCATTAAATTAGTAGATTAAGCAGATGCTTTGATGATTAATACATGCAAAGAATAATTATTAGATAAGAGTCTATTTGAATTATTGATTAGAAGCTGTGATTCTAATTGTTTGAACTATTTAGCACTATGGAATACTGAATTGTACACCATATTTAGATCAAATGCTGTGACTAGGTTGATACCATCTATAGTGGTGAGTTGATCGATATATAAAATTGAAAGTGATTGCACTTTCAATATGTTTTGCTGATATATCTTGAGAGGAAGAAATTGTAATATTGGGAGTGAGCCTCTGTCTAATTATTTTAGGTTATAGTCTTTGTTTAAACAATATTGAAATTTGAACCCAATCTGCTTAGCAGCTGATAAGAAGCCTGACCACTAATCTTTAAGGGCTTAATCTTTATGTAAGGCTAGTCAGTTAAGAGAGATGATGGTAACCATTCCAAAAGTTGAAGTTGTAAAATGTGTAACTGTGAGGTCAAACCAAGAAGTGAAATATCATTGATCATCTTTAATAGATCAGATAATTTAGCTTGTATCTGTTTATCATATAGGTGTATTAGACTGTAACCAAAGGTTGAGTGAATAACTGAAGCAGATATAAATCTTGAAAGTCCTAGTTTCTTTTTGAAAAAATTCTGTAGGAAGTCATAAGAGTATCACAAAGTAAACGAGAAATGAACATAAATTTTATTTTGTATAGTATGCGAGGGATGATAACTGTATTAAAAATTGCAACCATGTGTTTAGCAGTAAGCTTTTTCTTGTTAAAAACATTCTTTGTCTTAGTAAACTCATCAAAAATTTGTTTTGTAATAAATTGTTTATTATTAAACAAAGATACTCAGACTTCTAAATATCTAGTGAATTTCTTGTGATATAGTAATGAAAGTCAGATATCCTTATCATTGAAGTTAAAGTTAATGGGAGAGGAATCTTTGTCATTAATCATGAGAACTAACTTGTTCCAATTGATTCGAATACTGTTAAGTGTATAAAAGTAGTCTGCTATACTCATGATATTTAAAAGATCAGTTCTGAAATCTGCTAATCAGAGTATGTCATCTATATATGTCAAGGCTAGAGCATGATTTGAAAAACTTTATGTATTGTGCTTTGTGATATCTGTTCTCCAGTAAACGTATTGCATATAGCTGTGTGTTAAATTTTGTATAAAGTAAAGAATAAGTTGTAGTATATACACTATAAGATAGGAGATATAATTTCATCTTAGTTAATATTTGAGAGGACTAAATAAGTATCAGAATTACCATGCGCAGTAAATACTTGATTAAAATGAGAAAGAAAGATTGAAATCAAGAATTTTATAAATACTTCTAGAATGTGAAGGTGGTCAAGAGCTCTAATTAATATAGTGATATTAACATAATTGTATGCTTTTGATATGTCTTAAAATAAGATCCAAAGATTATTGTGATAGAATGAAGCATCATAGTTTATGTTATCGAAGATGTATATTAGTTTAAAAGTGCTTCTGCAAGACAAACTAGCAAAGTTGTTTCCTTTAAGAATATTGTTAATGGACAAGACGTTCAAAGTTGACTATTGATTAGCTTTATGAGAGCTTTACATAGGCATTTGAGAAGTGTAATAGGATGTGTGTTAGTTAAATTATATTTTCAAAGTTTTGGTTTAGGTATTGGATATATAAAAGCTAGATTCCATCTACTAGGTACTAAATTGAGTAATAAACATTTGCAAATGATGATTCAGAAATATTTTGATACAATGATATATAAAAATGATCTGCAAGGTTGCAAAAGGATGATCAATTTTGTATTATATTAAAATGATTTGTAATACTGTAGCTAAATTGGATAATTAAATGATCTACATGTTTTATTTTCCAATTTTAGTAGTTTAATTTATTATGCAAATAAATCTTATTACATCATTTATTATTAATATCATTTAATTTATTTATTTTATTTAAACTATTTTATTCATTTATATTATTTTATATATTTTATCTATTTTCTTTACTTTATTTAGTTTATTATTATTAGTGAGTATTTTATATAAATAGGAGTAGTTTATCAATGTAAAAGAGCATCAAAGTCTTATCTTATAATAAATCTTTTGATAAATAAATTGTATAGTACAGATGTGCTAATAGAAGCAGTACTAGTCTTTTGTTTGTTAAATAATTAATTGCACGCATTACACCCTACTTATCTCATTTATTTCTATTTCTTTTATCTTGTATATATATTTTTAATCTTCGTGTGAAGGAAACCTTCTGCTAAACTGTGATATTACAGGTAATTTATCTGCGATTTAAAAGAACTGGCATAATAATATTGTAAAAATATTGTAAAAATAATTTATAAAATGCTTTTTATTGTATTTAAAATTTTTTATTATTATAATTCATTTATAAGCTGATTTTCTAATTGATTTAATTTTTAATTTATATAAATTATATAAAATGAACTTAGTAATATTAATAATTATTAATATAATTTAATTAGATAAGAATTATTATATAATTGTATTTGTAAAATAATAAAAAAAAATTTTAAATGATTAAGATTTTTTCTATAAAAAAATATTCTTGAAAAAAAATGAAAATTGATCTTATTATATAATTATATCTATATCTTATACTTAAAATACTATTCTATTTTAAATTTCATACTATATTTAAACCTATATTCTATATCTTAATCTTAAATCTTAAATTTATTTAATTTTAATTATAATATATTTTTAAGTATATTTATCATTATAAAAATAAAATAATAATCTTTTTATCAATAAACTAAATATTATTAAATTATAATTATTAATTATAACAAAATTGTTTGATAAATTTTAGTTTAAGAAATATAAATAAGATTAAGATTTTATTCATATTTATATAATATAGGTAATAAGTATATTTTATTCAAATTTTACAAAAAAAAATCTTTAAAAAGTTTATATTTAAAAGTTAATATCCAAATAAATTAAAATTGTAAATCCTTATCAAGTTGATAAATAATAAAATTAAAATAAAAAAATGGAATTATTATTTTTAAAAGCTAATTAGTTCATCAAAAACTGATATTTTTACAAATTCTGTATAAGAAAATGCACTTTTATACTACAAATCGGCTTGCATAAATTATTTATTTTTCTTTCAAATCTTAATATTAAAATTTTATTTTACACATACTTCCTATTTATTATACATTATATACATATGGATATTCTTTATAATTGCTTATATCTTTTGTGTAATCAAAATATTGATTTATAATTTTGATGATATTATAATATTTGTTTGCATTTATTCACACTTTCTAACTATAATCATTGCTTAATTTAGCAATATTATTGTGTGTTAATAATGCTTAGTTACAAAATTTGTTTATATCAGACTTTTAAAATGATAGTTATATTACAACTATACTTGTCTATAATCAAGCTAAATATATGAGAAAAGAATCTGTTGAAATTCTTAATTAATATTACTTTATGAAATTATTGAAGGTTTAAGCATTATTTTTTAAAAAATTTTGGTAAAAATCCTAAAGATTTTTTCAAATTTCAAAATTTGTATTACTAGAAAAAGTTTCTATTATTCTTCTTTTAAAACAAGAAAACTTGAAAAGGAAGAATCTAAGATTTAGAATTATGGTTTATTTTATTAGAAATAGAAAATTTTTTCATGTTTTACATATAAGATAGTTTTGATCCCTTCAAATATTTTGGATTAATAAAGTAACTAACTATTATTTTTATTAAGTTCTTTTGGTGATTTATATGAATTGACTTCTTTTATTAGATATCTTAGTTTTATCTCATTTAACATTTGGATCTATTCTAATTGGTAAAATAGAAAAGACAGGTTAATTGACAAAGATAAAGTTTCAGAAAAAAAAATTATTTTATAACAATTTTGTGCAGAAATTAATAATGATCGTGAGTTCAAAATATTATCATTAATAATTGTGATCTACATCATGCATTTTTACCATCATGTGGGTGTTATTTCAAAATTTCACAAAGTTTTTTTTTCCCACATTGTTTTTTTAAAAACTTAGCTTTTATCGTTATATTAACCAAAATTATAACGCTAAAAATGCATGATTTTACTTTTTATTTATCGTTTGTGGATAAAATTGTAGTAAATTAGGAATACTAAAACATATTTTAAAAGAACAAAGTGGGCTTATTTAACGAAAGGTGAGTTTTTTAACTTCTTAGTATTTATTTCATTGTAAGGTGAACGAATAGTAATATGCAGGGTGTGCGGCCTCCAAGCCGTGTATGATAATGCTGACAGTCTCCTAAATCGGGTAGTGAAGATTCGTATTACCATGCTTGCAAAAACTGAGAAACACCTGTCTTGAGTGACCTCCTCTCCCTTAGCGAATACTAAATTAGTAAAAAACCCTATTGTTTTACTTCAGGTTTAGGACGGACGGTTCCATTATCATGATGATTACTCCTTTTTCGATCTATTGTGTCTAACTGGAATTTATTGCAATCAATAACCTCAAATCAAAAATCAAAAATCTATAGTTATGATTTTTCTGAAAAAATTATATTTAATATTATGAAATTAAAAAATTATTTTCCGCAAGCCTTCCGTAAAATTATTATGAAAATTAAACATCGTTGATTTTTGGAATGAATAATCAAAGCATTATAAACTGGTTTTTTTAAACAGTAATTAAATAAATATAAAAAAAAACCGCTTTTATAAATAATATTATTTATTTGAAATTAAAATATTACTCTTTTTTATTTAATGAATTAGTATATGAATAATAAACTTGATGAATAATAAACTTGACAGGAAAAATTTTTATAGTTAATTATTTTTTAATTTATTTTTTTATAACAAAGAAATAGTGATGGTTATATTTAACATTAATAATATATTATACACACAAATATAATCAAAAAAAAAAAAATAAAATAAAAAAATAATAATAATGGTCGGTTAATATAAAAAAAAAATCTTATTCTTAAAAATTATAAAAACATCAACAAAATTAACCTAACAATAATGAACGCAACTTAAGTTTTTCATTTGCTCTTTCATTAACATTAGAAGCATTTTGACCTAATCTTAGATCTAAGACAAGATCTATATTTGTTTTAAGAATATTTTTACAATGTTCTTTCAATTGATTGGCTTTGTAATCTTTTGAAAATCCTAAAGTTTTACACACATTATTGATACCGATGAACTTGCTATTTATAATAGTATTTTCCACAGCATTTTTTAGTGGTTCAACGTCATATATATCAGTTGCTTTCAACAGACTCTCAAAAAAGTCTAAATAATAAGTTTCATAACTTTCAAGATTTGATTTAAAGTCTGATTGTTTTTGTAAAACAGATTCTATTGCATCTTCGAAAGATTGTCCATGTAACCATTGAAGTAATACCCAAAACGCATCTGGTTGAATACCAACTATTGTAACCTCGATTTCGCTCCCATTTGATTCATTAAATTCACCTTCAAACATTTTTTCAAAGTACTCTTTTGAAGCAGCTATTGGAAAAAGAGGTTAGACAAAGATTAATGAGGAAACTTTACGCAATATCAAAGTTCATACCTGAAAGCACGTATCTATTGGCTCTAAACGTTTTATCTCCAACAATAAAAGTGACATCATGATATCTATCAGAATTGCCCATAAACCTTTCCAGTAGACGATCAACCAGCACTTTTTGTTGATCATGTTTAATTATATTTACTGGTAGGCTACTGGATAAAAACTTTTTTGCACCGCAAACCTTTAACAAATTTTCGTAATCCTCCAAAAATTCATTAATTTTTAACATTCCTTGAATATCATGTGATAAACCAAATACAAGCTCCTTTCCTTCTACCCACTTTGTCTTATCAAATGGTTCATCTCCATTTAGTAATATTTTCTTAGGATTCTTGGGATTTTTAATCTTCAATTTAATCAGAACTTCTTCATTTAGAGCACGTTCATTCATTGTCTTATAAATATTTTTGATTATACTCTTTGTTTCCTTAAAACTACTTCTCATAAGTTCTATATTGTCAACGACGTAAAACCAATGTTCCATAACATTTTCGGTAGAAGGAATTCCAATTTCTGGATGATGTTGATTGAATATGGTAAATTTGGTGGGATCAATGATTTCATCAAATAATGGGCACTGAGTCCAACATAATTTCTTATACTTGCGGGAACAAAGTGCTCCAAGAGTCTCAAACCCTGAAGTTTCTTTATGATTCCTATAAAATTGTGTAAAATTCCTTTCTGATGGGACGAACTTTATTTCTAGAATTCTCTTCCATTGGTCGGGGTTAAAATTTAATGTGTCAATATGTTCATACAAATATCGTACCAAGTAATTTGCTCGATCTTTAACCACACCTGAAGGTAATTCGTCACATTCAATCTGTGATTTAACTTCTTCTGCGCATTCAATAAATATTTGTTCATTCACTTGACGCTTAAGACCAATCCTTCCAAGAGCTTCTAAACAAACACGATTTTGCAATTCTATTGGTAAAAATTTGTCGTCATTTGTAAAAATCTTGGGGAATAGGGGTTCGTTCCTGTCATACAACTCATCAGCTCTTACAAAATCACTAAGTGATTTATTAGGTATCACTTTTTTGTTTCTAAAATATCGTTCAATTTCCGGATTTTCTAAAGTTAAGACATTCTGTAAGAAAGGGATGTAATTTGGAGAATCTTCAGGTGTTGGATAAATTACTTCTTTTAATAGATGGTCTCTGACATACACCAATTCATTTATTTGATTGGCACCCAATTTGGTAAGTGCATTGAAATCAGAATCATGATTACATTTGTAGAAATCGGTCGTATTTTGAAATGCAAAAAATGGAAGCTTATATGGAAGAAGGATTCCAGATGTGGCGTCAATGAGCTCTTCAGAAGAATGTGTCGGCCATATTGGTAAAGACCTTAGAATTTCCATAAAATTTTGCTGGTGTTGCACATGTTCTGTTAAGTTAGAAGAATATGAGTATATAATTATACGGAAGTTTATGACAACGTTCTTTACATTTCACTTGCCTATTAAAGATTCCAGTTCCCTTTTAATAAATGTTCTAAACGTGTCATAATTTTCAGTTGATAGTTCACTATTTTCAAACAATTCTATCATATTCAAATCAAACAAAGAACACGTATTTTTCAAAGCATTTAGTATATTTATAGAAGTGCATTTTACAATACACTTTCTAAGATCTGCATTGGCACCTTCCGGAAGTTTCAATTCTGTAAAGCGTACTTTTAACTTTACTAATATTGGAAATAAAGTGTGTCCATTTTCAGGTATATATAAGAGTGGATTCTCTGGATCAGGTCGAACGAGCACATTAGGAGGTTCAACCATTGATAACAGAGGAAAATTGGAAAACCTGTCAAAATCCAAATCTTCTACGTTTTTAAATATTGTCCAAATTTTTTCATACCAATTATTATATGGTATTGATTCTCCTTGGGGATCCCATTCCAATTCTTCTGACATTGGTATTTCACTTTCTAATAGCTCTAAAATACCGGTAATATCTAACTTTTTAATATGTGTAATTTCAGAAAAATCATTAAACTCTTCACCATCAAAAATTTCCAATAGTTTTTCTGGTATATCATGAGAGATAAATCTTGATGCACTTGATGGAAATAACTCCATACATTCTTGATTCCCAATATAAAGGGCATTACCAAACTTTCCAATAGAACCATCACTCAACGGAACTAATTGTAGTCCATTAAGAAGTCTATATGTGTTTTTATCTTTATCTTTAAGAATAAAATTAAGCAATTCGAACAATGATTCGTGTGATTGGTTCTTATTGTCAACATCGTTTCGACCCCCGTGCTCGTATTTGGCTCTTTGTAATTCTTCACAAACTAATTTTCCATTAAGAATTGTGTACTTGAAATTAATATTTTTCGATTCTGTTTTAGCTTCATCAAGATGTTTAAGTTTACTCTTTTCAAGTATCACTACTGAAACTCCTAATTTGCCTAATATATTTGCAATAGTTTTTGTATTGTCATTTTCCTCAAGAAATTTGGCTGTTTGTAATGAGAAAAATTGTCCACCTTTAGCTTTAGTCCAGAAAAATTTTTGTTTACAAAGACCCAACTTGACAATAACATTTAATCCATAATCTTTGTATAAGTTCGTATAATCCTTTATCGGCCAAAGTAAATGCGGAACGAAATTTTGTCTATCTCTCCTAAATCTAGCTTCTTCAATTCTCACAACAGCTTCAAGTAGTTTAACATGCAAATCCGGCAAGACATTATACAAAATATATCGATTCCATTTTGAATCATCGCAATCAGCATTAATAAAATCATTTCCCGACTGTAAAATATTGCTTCTTGAACTGGATAACGAAAAGCTACCATTTAAATGAACATTCAAACGCGTAGATACCGATAGAGATAAATAAGAAAAAAATTCGCCATCGAGATCAGGAAACTGTCATGCATAATTCATAATCCCCTTAATATATTATATAAACGATAAAATAATAATAATAATAACAAAAGAAACTTTACCGTTTCAAATTTTGGTTCACCAAAAACTATTTCCTCAGATTTAGAAAGCAACATAGCAACTCCACCTCTTGGCTTTATTAAATGTACAAAATAAGAATTAGAAACATTATTACAAATTTTAAATTTCAATAAATTATAACTATTATATTTACCTTGAGACCATTTTCCTCCGAAATTTGTTTAATTTCCTTTTTCATCTTAATCTTTTCATGCCCTCCTGTACATAAAATCCATGTTTCTGAAACTTTTCTGTTTTGCAAAACTATTTCATTAGTTAATTGATATGTTTGCATTTTATCAATTACACTTTTACGAATTTTGCGATCAGGATCTGAAATATCAATTTTTACTTCCCATATTCTATTCATATTTTGATTTTTCATGTGATAAAAACTACATGATTCTATATTCCTTAAAAAGAGCATCTCCTTGTTACCCTGGACTTCACTAAATATTTGCAAGATTTTTCTGATATCTACGGCTTTCTTTGAAATCTCACTTTTTCTCGCCGAATTAAATGTCCTAAGTGGAAGTCTAAACAGTGTTCCTTTAAACTCCTTTGAAAGATCACAACCTTCTATCGCCTCGTAAGGATAGCATTGATCTGGAAAACATCCCTTAAATTCCTTTTCGATAAAATTAATTCTAGTACCTCTACGCCTTCTGGGTGGGTATCCTTGTGCTGGAAGAAATTTTGCATTTGGATCTAAAAATGCAATATACTTTCCACTCACAATACTCGGTAAATCTGTAATGTGGAAGGCACAATTGAAACCTGTTCCGAATCTTCCAATTGTATTCTCATCATTGGATTTTGATCCCTTTCCAAGTTTAATCAAAGCCCGAAAGTCTTTGTCAGTAAATTCAACATCATTATATATCCATAACGCGGGACCTTGCATATCAACCATATCTTGCGATAATAAAGATTTTTTAGAAGTATTATCATAATGAATTGGTCTTTCATCCACTATTATCGAAAATCGCTTTGCTTTTGCATCATCTGCATTCTACATTAAAGGGATCATAATATATATTCTTCAGATTTAAGTATTATAAAAAAAAATAACAAGATTCATTACTTACTTGAAGAAATTCCTTAAACAACTGAGTTATTGAATATTCCTAATGATGTCAAGACGGTTTATAAATATTAATAGATGATATAATTAAATAAAAAAGCATTAAAAATTAAATGATTACCTTGATAAGACCTTGTATTCTAGTAGTCAATGATTCTTCCTGCTCATATATGTCCCAATCATCATCTCCAGCTTCAATACCTAGTAATTGAAGAAGTAAAGAATTTAGGTAAAATGTGAAAAAAAATATTAAATCTCAGAATTATAAGATACGATAGTTACCATATATTTTTCCTGTTAAAGTTCCTATCTCCAATCCTTCGGCAATATCCCGAGTCACCAGATGATGAGTAATATTGTAATTACTTCTCTCATTTTCATCAATTTTATCACCTAAATCATCAAATTGAATTTCATCTAATTTCACAAGTTTATGTTGAGTAGTTGGAATTAATAATCCGTCCAATATTTCTGGATCTTTTCTATCTCGTTTATTATCCTTTTGTTTCCTGGAAATTTGTTCAAGAATTTGAATGACCCTTTTTATCTCGTCTATCAATAAAACTCTGTCTTTGTTTCCCTCCACGGTACTTTTAATAATCAAAATCAAGTCCTTAACTCCAATTTCGTCTCGAACTCCCATAGCTTTAAAAAAAGACATATATTTGCTTGTATATTCTATAGGAAGCTCAACTATTAAAGAATCCTTGTCCTTAAATTCACTCAAAAGACGAAAGACAACCTTATCAGCCGAATAAAATTTGTTTAATTTACTTCCGCACAAAATCCACGGTTGCTTTTCCAAATATTTTTTCATATATCCAAATTCATTATTAATGTTATTTGTTTCAAAAATTTTTTTGCTCATATGTTTATAAATCTCGTCACAAACAGTTGTTAACTCCTCTGGCGGTTGTTTTCTCGCCAAGCTCACACAACAAAATTTCAATTGTTCTAAAACCAAATTAACACTGGGATAAGTATTCCACCCTATTCTCTTCGAAAACTCGCGATTTTTAACAGAATAATCCAGAATTGGTGCAACAAAGCAAACTAGATTTTTGTCTCTTTTGGGATAGCAATCTTGAGGTTTTGAAAAGATTTCGTTTTGAGATTTATCAACAGTAGGGATCCATTTTTCATTTAAAATTACATACATTAAGTGATCATTTATGATAAGCTGACCCCACTTGTCATCAAGATATTTCAAAAGTTTAAGCGCTTGCTGACGAATTAAAGTTTCATTGACGTTGGAACTTCGTGCTACAATATTTTTGATCCGAGAAATTATATCATCGGGAGAAAGTATAATTTTTAGTCCCAATGATTTCAAATTCGAAAAGAACTTTCCAGATCCATATTTGCCAGCTGGAAAGAATTTTTCGTTCTCAAAAAACAGATCAACCACCGACTTTTCTTCGGGATTGAATAGTTCTACTGGTTTCGCTAATTTAAAGTTATTAGGCAATTGTTGTTGTTGTGACATTTGAAGTGTACCGGTGGGTACAAAGGGAATATTTCCGAAAAAGTCTCTTAACTCTGAATGATGATAAAGCAAATTTGGCAATTTATCAAACAGTTTGTCAATTACACTATCTCTGTCTCCTTGTTGTTGTGATCCGAGAAATGGCATTACATAATTTCGCCAATAGTTATATGATTCTAATCGAGGAACTTTGATAATGTATTCCAGTAAATAGCATAAATTCTGTGAACTTGCATTTAGAAATCTTCCTCTATTACTCGGATAAATAATTTTACCATATGAATTTTCTTCATTTTTGGGAAGAAGGAACCAATTTGCATTCCCGGATAATAATGAAATTGGGGAATTTTGATCAACTACGGTAAAAATCGGAAGATGTTTTATAACCTCAATAAGTTCCGGCGCTAGATTATTTGTAAGACGTAAATAATTGGACAAATGATCAATAAGTATTGATGCTTCACGAGGTTGTAAATCATGTTCCAAATTCCTTGGATATGAAGCTGCTGCACGGAAGGAACTTAGAACCGACACAATATCTTTGGGTTTAATTATGTATGAAGATACTCTAATAAACAACAAATAAAATAAAATGAACAAAAAGAACAGATATTTAATAACAATCATATAAAATTGGATAAAAATTCATGAAATAATTACCCATCCCGTTCGACAACTTTGTCAAATTGTTTGTTCACAAAAACGGCACCAAATTTTTCGAAAATAGAAATTAAGGACGATGGTTGATGATAAAAAATTCTTTGAGGAGTTTTTAGCCTTCTAAGAGTAGATCGACTCGTTGGAATTAAATGAACGTTTTCAAATTCTTTCAAATCCCATCGCCTATAACTTAGGTTATCCCATAATTTATAAATCCATTCATTATGATTTATCTCTTCAGATTTTACATTTTTTGAATTCAGTGTGAATCTAATCATATCGGCAACGGCAAATTCGTCCAAGATTTTAATGTTTAAAATCCATCCATCTTTTGCTAATTTGTACAAACGGTCATACAATTCGTAGCTAATTGACATGTCAATGAATTTGTTCAATTGATCGTTGAAGACATTAAATTCATCTCTATCAATACTATTTATATTATAAGGAACAATATATACAAGAGAATTGCTGGATTGCGACAACTTTCCAAATGTACCATCCGCGAGTGGAATCATTCTAAAATCTACTAATTCGTCAAACTTTTCGTCCCTTAATAAATATCCAAATAATTTCAGGACTTCTTCTCTTGCTAAGGTGCTTTGCCATCTACCAGGATTATGTTTTAAATAGTCACGAAGAATAGCAGGAGCGAAAATTTTACGGGAAGTTTTATGTTTGGATTTTTTCAAGCCTTTAGTTATAGCAAAAGGTGCTGAAATAATAGGAAATCCAACGCTTCCAACTGTAGATAAATCAATAGTCATATTATCATTCAAATAGCCATTGGCGAGTGATAACCAATGAAATTCGGATGCTTGAAATGAGGATGCATCGTATGAATCTGCTGAGATTCCAGATACTTTTCCAATGGCATTATTTAATGAGGAGGGTCCTCTAAATACACGATCCTTAATGCTAAGATGTTCTATAACATTCTGCAATAGATCCTTGCAAAAATGATTCATGGTACCTGATGTATCTCCTTTGTCTTTTGGCCAGAATTTATATAGATGATCTGACGAAATATTAGGAACTTTACGTGGGAGTTCACGAAGGAATTTTACCCAAGCTTTGGGTAAGACTTTTTCAAATAAATATTGATTCCATGAAACCTTCAGGCGTGCTATTGCATCGGACGCCTATAGTTTTAGTAATCAATAATTAACATATATTCCTTTTTTTACCGTTTAACAATCAATATAAAAGATAAAAATGGATTAATTACCAAGTCTTCGTTATCTGCGGGCGCCCATAGAGAACGTCGATTAGTACTAACCTGTTATAAAAAAAATTTAAAAAATTTAATTGAGTATTTAGAGTTACAGTATAATACAACAATAGATAAATTTCAATAAGTTATTACCGCGAAATATCCATGCACGGAAACAAGGAAGGGCATAGAAATGGGAAGTGGTAAAAAGCAAAATAATCTTCCAGTTGCATCCAAATTATTTAACGGAACGGCTAATCCAACGTTAGGGATAAACTTGTGCTCCCCTATACTTTTCGAGAAATTTTTTTGATAATACTTTTCAGCTTCAAGCAAATCATCAAGATAGTTCAAAATTAACCATGGGTCGCTATCCCCCTTCTCATTTCCTCTTTTACGACGGAATGATGCAACATAAGAGGATTCTAATTGTTTAATATCGTTACGTTTCCCCGAAATTAATGAATCCATCATTGTTACAATGTTTTTAACAATCAAACGACGTTGTTCTCGAACTTGAACAGCATTTTCCAATCGAATTTCATATAGTAAATCAGGTTTAGTAGCACCTTTCTTTAATTCATAAAAAGTAATTTTCTCAACATATTTTAAAAACAACAAGCAATTAATACTTTCGTTTTCGTAAAATTTATGAAACATCTCCAAGACTTCTTTAGGTTTATAAATTTTTTTATAAATTTCCGAATCTTGAGAATCCTTTTCAGTACGTAGAGGATAACGAAACATAGTGCCATCAAACCTATTAAATGAATTTTCACACGAGATTCCCAAGGATGGAATTTTAAAAGGAGCAAGTTGATCAGGGAAATCTTGGACCATATTATCTTCGACAATGTCGTATATCTCTCCACCATCAAAATACCATTCATGTGGATCAAGAATAACGTATGTATCACCGGTAATGAAGGATGGAGAATCGGTAACATGATAAATTGAATTGAAACCGACACCCATTACTACATTTGTTATTAAATATAGGTAAAAAAAAAAAAAAATAAAATAAAATAAAAGGAGACATTAGAATGCAAATAATGTAAATTTCTGCGCAATGTCTTCATGGTGAAACTTACCTCCAATTTTATCAAATTGGTCGCGTTTTTCGCTATTTGCCAAATTTAACAAAGATGTGAAATCTCTCTCTTCAAAAATGGTATTATTTATCGCCAATAAAGCTGGACCCTGATATCTATCAAGTTTCAAGTCGGAATTATGATAATTATCTTCAATCGGCTCTAATAAGCTTTCTGATGGATAAGTATTATGATCCAGGATGAAAATTTGTTCAGTGCTCTTGGAATCATCAGAATTTTGAAGAATTTCACGAAGAACTTGTGGACCATCAGGATATTCAACAAGAATTTTATTCAATCTATTAGTATAACGTTCTGACGGTTTAAATTTCCTTCCTCGAGTTCTAACCATCTTTACGATAAGTAATTATTACAGTTATGTTAAGTTTCTCAGTAAAGAATTAAGAAAGAAGAATTGGGATTTGAGAAAAAAAGAATAACCGACTTGAAACGTTTTATTTATAAAATTTTAAAATATGTCACGCAAACGTTATTGTTATCCATGATTAACAATTTGATTAAAACTTTTACTTTTAATAAGAGTACAAAACAGTAATGAACGATGGAATAAATAATCCGAAATATTTTGGGGTTGTGTAATATTATAAAATAATGACATCGAGTTAGTTTAATTTTTTATTTGGTTATTGTTTCTGAAAAAGGATATTATAAATATTATGAATAGAAAATTTCCTATTTAGTCGAACAAGAGTACGGAAATAATTATGCGGATTAGATCTTTATGGTTGATTGCTATGTTACACCTGACTCGTTGATCCCAATAAAGAAAGATAAGAAAACAAATAACGGAAAAGGTAAATCAAAAAAAGATTTCATTTATTAATGAATACATATTCGAACGAGTACACAAAGAGATGAAACAAATCTTATGAATGTTTTGCACTTGTGTGCTTTGTTTAGAAATATTAGGAAATATGTAAAGTAGATTGTCTTTTGTTGATTTATTTTATCTTTTAAACATATGATGCAGGGGATAATAAAAAAAAATAATTCGAATCCTTGTATTCTTTCCAAAAAGAAATACAAATCTCAAAAGTCATCTTCTGTATTTAAAAATATTAACTTACAATATAAATTTTATTTTCAATTTTTGATTGTTAAATGTATATAGTTTTTAATTTCGAAACTGGCATTTAGATTTATTTCAAAATGCTTGGGCGCCATACGTATTTGTATGTGAATAAAACCAAGTTTTGGATTTTTTTTTTTATAATAAGGAGTAATATCCAAGAATTCAACCTTTGCTTTTTTAAAAAGGTATAGCAACGCGAAGTACACTACAAAGTTGATTAATAATTTATGAATCGTATTTGAATTTGAATTTTTTTTTTAAATAGTAATGTTCTTTGTTAATCCGCGCGCAACATGCAACGCATGACAATATAATGGTTAAAATGCTTAATTACTTATTTATTTACGAATAAAGCGAACTTTTTTACATAAATTGAAAATCTATCGTTTTAAATTAAATAACAAAAAAAAAGAATGGTAAAACATGATTAAATAATTTTTTTTTTTTTAAGGTTTTGGTCTAATCTTAACGAACAATTCGGGACAAACGGTTAAAGCTGTTGACAAGGTTTTTAAAGGAGATTTCGTGTCTACCAAATCAAATTCATACTTTCTATACAATAAAGCCATCAAACAAATCAATTCAATCATTGCCAACTTTCTTCCCGGACAGATTCTTAAACCTCCACCAAACATGATAAAAGAATATTTCTTTGGTTCGAAACCTTTAACCATCCATCTATCAGGATTAAATTTTTCAGGTTCTTCCCAATAATCATTATGTTTGTGAATAGAAACAGCATTCACATGAAACATCGTGCCAGCCGGCCAATTATACCCCGCTATTTCGTCAGGTTCTTGACTATATCTCGCCATCATGTTGGAAACCGGAAGAACGCGATCAACTTCTTTTACTATCGCTTCACAGTATTTGAGTTTATGAAAATCATCTTCGGTGATTGGACGATCCTTGTCACCTTGGAATATTTCATCAATTTCTTTTAGCATTTTCTTCTTCACATCCGGATTGTGTTCGATATGATAGAGAATGAATGAAATCATATTTGCGGTCTATGAAATGAATTAAGATAAATGTTTGAGCAACATTTTAAAAAATCGATTAATCATAAAAAAATTTGAAATTTTTACTCACTGTGTCAGTTCCACCAAGAAATCCGTCGAGCAAAATACCACGAATTTCAGTATCATTCATAGGTCTCATGACTTCACCTTCGACAGTTTTAATTTGATTAACATTCCGAGGAGTATTCGCAGTGATCACCGAGGTCAACATATCATGTGATAAAGGTTGGTCCAATGGTGTATTTTCAATTTCCTGTCTGCGCCTCTTAATAATGATGTCCAACCTTTGATAGATAAATTCGGCGTTTTTAAGTAAGTCATCCGAGATTCGCTTCATATATGGGGAGTAATGTCGTATGAAAGAAGGAACGAAGATAAATGTTGATAAACCTAAAATATGCTCGCGAAATGCTCGAACGAATTTATCGGAATCATCAACTATCGCTTGTGGGTGTAAGGATTTTTCATCACTTTGAGTGTTAAAATATGCGGCCATTGTATAAGATCTTTCACCAGTTGTCAAAGCGATGATCATATCATTTGTATATCGACTCAACCAAGCAGAAAAATCCATTTTATTCTTCTCCCCTTTAATAATTTCTTCCTTGAGGTATAACTTGTTCCAAAAACTTGACAATTCTTCGAAAAGTTTATTCGTCCAATCGATAGCCTCTTTGGTAAATTTCGGTGCAAAAATGGCTTGAGTAAAAAATTGACGATTATATCTCCATGATTTCAAATCATGATTTGCAAATAAACCTTTTCCCATCATTCCTAATTCATCTAACCCTTGAGTGTAAGGAAATCTCATCATGTATTGACTTTTTGTTGAAGGCATCAAAAGTTTTTCGACGTATTCCGGTTTACTGAGAACTATACGTCGAGTTCCCAAGTGAAATTCGAAAATGTCACCATGCTTCTTTTGATAATGTACGAAAAATGTCTTGAAATTTCCGCGATGAATAAGCATGAATTGAGGTAGGTTCCCGATTACTGGGAATGGGAATGGACCAGGTAAAGGATTAACTCGAGTAAAATACTTGTAATAATACTGCGTCACGTAGATCGCCAGGATGATACCTATCAATGAGAGGTAATCATGAATTAAAAAATCTACTAATAAATGATGAAGAGACATGTTTGGAAAAGGAATTCTTTCTTTTTTTTTGAATTTTAATCGAATAATTCTTATAGTGTTTAAAGTGATGTTCAACTTGTGTGAAAACCCAGGATATTTATATTAAAAAGTGATGATGTAAATATCGGCTTAATTTATCCGTTCGGACGGTAACACTGCATAGGTTAAATTTCGTACCGGAAATCTGAATGAAATTAAGCGGTGGCGTACATGGAATTATCTCAATGAAATTAAAAAATTTCGGTTAAAATTTTTGCTGAAAATCATTGTTATAATTGCGGGCACTTAATATACCCACGCTTGGGAAAGGCATTTGGGGAATTTAAATATCATTTGAATTCTTCAACTGAGAGCTTATCAGATTGTAAGTATAATAAAACGTGACAATTATTGTTATTGTTTTACTGTGGAAAAAAAATAAAAATAATTGGTATTAAAGCAATGTATGCCATAAAAATAAGTAAAAATCAATCTTTTGAAAAAAAAAATAACCCTAATTTGATTGGTGGAATAAATAGAAGCAGATATATTTTCTCTTGCGTAACAGTTAGTTTTTCGTTTTGTTGTTGGTGAACATTCTATATGGTAAGTTTGGCTAAAGGGAAACAACATTTTAACGTAAAACGTAACACGCGAAATGCTAAATTCATCCTTTGGTTGTTAATATAAAAATTAATCATGTGTAAATTTCCATTTTTAAGAAAATTTCGCTGCAAATTTAATTATTTTTGTATCACGTCAAAAAAGAAACAATGATTCAAGAGATACTTCAATATTGATGATTAGGAAAGTTAATTTAATGAATTTTTTTCCTAATTATGATTAATTTTTCTTTTTTCATTAATTAGGTTATATTTCAACAACTAAACAAATTGATAAAACAAAAAAGATGAAGGATACAATATCATTGCCTTGATGTTTTGATCGTATAGAAAACAAGTATGGTATGGTGACCGATGTATGTATGTATGATGACAAATGTATGGTAGTTTTGACGGTTTATTTTTAAGCATACATCTGTCACCATACCATACTTGTTTTCGTTACCCCCTGATGTTTTGGGTTTGGTTTAATTAACCGACAATCATTTAATCGACAAATACATTTCAAATTACCGATATATTATTTTTTTTTTTTTATGGGAAATTCATGACCAATTGCCATTCAAATTCACATACGCTATGAAATAGAAAAGTTTTATTTGAAATCAAAATTAATTTATGTATTAACAATTTTTTTTACTTACAGTGGGTGATCAAAAGTATCCGACACCTTGAAAGTCATATGACTGATCAGTAAATATCGGCTCTAATAAAAAATTTTTTCTTATTAATTAATTCAACTTTGGTACTTTAAGTTATGCGCCCATGTTGAATAACATTTATCCCAAAATTTTTTATATACATAGATCTGACTTATATTTAGTTAAATATTTTAGAACTTATCCAAAAATTTGGTGGTTTTAATGCAAACTTTCAGTTATAATTAAGCTTTAAATTTTTTGGTTTTAATATGCTAATTTATTTAAATAAACGTTTTTATTGTTTCAAAAAATGAATACTTGTGAATATTTCAAAAATGTCAAATTTATATATAGTGTATTATATTTAATTTAAATAAAAATTTATGATTTTATATTTTACATAAATTTCAAGCAAAAATTTTAAATAATTATTTTTCAATAACATATATAATAATTTACTATAAAATTTATATTAAAATATTCTATAAGTAATAAAATTTTCAAATACCAGTTAGCTTTTTGTAAAATTTCCTTGATTTTTAGCTACAATCATAATTTCTATACAGAATTAATAAAGAAAATTTTTTTTTATAAAATAAATGTACATTTTAAATAAGTTTGCATCAAGCATGCATAAATTTAATTGACTTGAAATTTTAACAATAAACTTTTTTTAATATTATAAACAAGTTTACTTAATCCACATTATACATTATAACCAAAAAATTTGAAGCTTAATTATAACTGAAAGTTTGCATTAAAACCACCAAATTTTTAGATAAGTTCTAAAATATTTAACTAAATATAAGTCAGTTCTATATAAAAATTTTTGAAATGAATGTTATTCATTATGATA